GCTCGCAGGCACAGAGCCATCAGGCCCGAGTGCAGGTGGCTTGCTCTGGGTTGTCTCGCGGCCAGGTCAGACCACCGTGAGGGCCCAGCAGGCACAGCCCAGCACAGCTCCCCGACTCCTCAGGGGCGTCTTACCTGGATCTCGGGTCCCCAGCTATCAGGTTCCCAAACTCGCCCAGGATGTAGCCGCCCACTTTGACCAGGTTCTCATGGCACGCCGGGGCCTGCAGCGACTGTGAGACAGCGAGCAGGAAGTCAGGGAAGAAGCCAGCGTGGCAAGGACCCTCCTGGCGGGGGCCCACCCTCCTGCCCTCCTGCCACGCAGCAGAGGTGCAGCAGCAGAGCCGCCCCAGAGGCAGCGGCGTGGCAGTCCCACCTGTAATGAGAGCTAATGTCAGGCCCCGAGCTCAGGGAGGAAGCGAGGCACCGGCCCCGGGCGCTGCGCTCAGGTGGTCAGTGACACGGACGTTAGGGTTGGGGTGCCCACCCTCCGCGAGCCCCAGTCCAAAGCGGACAGCAAGGAAACACACAACTCTCCCCGTGGCATCGCCACCCGGCCAGCATGAAAGGACACCCTTCCATGGAGGAGCCTGAGAGTGCAGCAGAGGGTCAACAGAACAGGAGCTGGACAACCCAGGACAGTCAGCCGCAGGGGGAAGGAAGTCGGCCGCCCAGGGCCACCCCTCCCCGGGCCAGCTGGGGTACCTCGAACACTGTCTTGGCGGCGTAGCCCTGCACGTCGTCCCGGTTGATGACGATCTGGATGACACGGTACCACACCTCTTCACTCACGTAGTCGCCCGCAATCCGGATCAGGTTCAGGATGGTGTCTACATACCACGTGTAGTCCACGGCATACTTCTCCGCCAAGATGGCGACCTTCAGCACCTGCAGGGGGCGGCTGCTCAGGCTAGGTCCCCGTGGCCCATGACAGCAGAGCATCCATGTGGGGCCTCAGGACTGAACCCTCGCAGCCACGCTCAGTGGTAGGCACTCCCACCGGGTTCTCAAAGGAGCCCAGGCAGCGGAAGGCTCACGGGGCTAACTGAGGAAGCCTGCGGCCCTCCAGCAACAGACACGACAGGACACGTCCGGGAACACAGGGCACAGCACAGCTGCAGGAGCGCATGAGGGCCGACCTGACCACAGCCAGGCCAGGCCTGGGCTGCCCTCCCGCACCCGCATGCAGAGCAGCCGCACTGTGGGTCTCTGGCTCCAGCCCACCTGTCTAGCCAGGCTCCCCTCCACTCTTCATGGGAGACCCACCCACTCAGGAAACAATTCACTGAGATTCACAAGTATCTGGGGCCAGTGACGTCAGAACTCACAATCTCTTCTCGAATGGAGTAGTCAGCCGTCTCCAAGTAGCTCAGCATCTCCGCCACAATCTGCTGGGCGTTGCTGCGGTCGCACATGGCGTAGAGGAGGTCCACGGCCCGCTGCCGCACGCTCACGTCCCGCTCCGTCTGGGGACAAGGCACCGAGTGAGGAGTCCGGGGATACGCCTCCACACAACCCTGGCACTCACTCTGGGCTCCCCTCACTCACCATCTGAATGCAGAGACCCCCAACAGGCTATGGTGAGCAGAGCCCCTCACCCCAATCCACTGCTCCCCTCGTCCCTGCACTGCCCGGAATCAGGCTCCGTCTCCTAGGGGACGTCAAAGGCCTGTCTACTGTGTGGTCACAGACCGGCACCTTCCGTGTCGCCTGAGAACTTGTCGCAGGGCTGCTCTCCCCCGCCCCCGCCTGCACATCAGTTCCTCAGCACAGGGCAGCAGAGGAGCGCTGGCTGGGGCCAGGCAATGTGCAGAGCAAGGGCGAGCCTGGGAGCCTCGCGGGACTGAGCGCACATGGCACCGGGCCTGGAGGACCCAAGGCAGTGCGAGGCTCGCTCCAAACCCTGTGGGCCTCCCGTTCAAATCAGGCCCCAACAATGTGAGATTCGTGCAAATACGAAGCGATGGAGTTGAGCCTGCTCTTCCTCTAAGCTCAGGGCCAAACTGTGGCTCAGCAGCCCCCACCTGCTCCCAGCCCTCTTGGTGCTGGCTACCATAGGGGACGCTGTGGGCACTACTGTGTCTGACAAGGGGACAAACAGCCTCCACTTGGCTCTTCTAAGTCTGGAATTTTAATTCCTTGAAAAAGTTGATTTTCTTTTGCAAACGGTGAGTTTTCTTGGAGACAAAGACAAAATACTTCATCTTTCTACCAGAAGGAACTGTTTCTGTTGGTTCAAATATTCACTGTGCCCATGGCACCTGTTAGATGCTGCGCGTTCTAAGTCACTCGCGGGCAGAGGGCAGAGGCTGGGCCACGGGCCAGCACGCGGGGAGCAGCGCCCGGCGCAGAGCACTTGCCTTCAGCGCGGCGATGACGGTCTCGATGTGGGTCTTCACGGCCTCGTGGGAGAACTCGGAGCTGGCCAGCGCGCACATGCTCTCCAGGGCCAGGTAGCGCAGGTTGGTCTCCCGGTGCTGCAGGAACTGGCCCAGCTGGTTGCAGGCGCGGACGAGCAGGTTCGGCTCGCTGCAGGGACGGGGCGGTGGTGAGCGGGCCGCGTGCACTTCAGCACGGAGGGTTCAAGGCACCACTGCCGAAGAGACACCCTGGCCCCCTGGACGCAAAAGCCTCAACCGTAAACCAAGTCAGCTGCCATCCCCTCTGGTAGCGCCCACAGGGGAGACCCACAGGGGCTTTGCCAAGCACATCTGCAGAATTCCACCAACTCCAAAAAGCTGCTGACAGCTCCCATCCCCAGCGCATGGCAGCCACCTCGGGGCTCCCGCAGGCTGTGGCCAGGAGTGTGACCTCAGCCGAGGTCACCAGCCCAGGGAACCGTGAACAAGTACCCTGATCATGGGGCTCTGGAGGGTAAGTGTGCAGACACGGGGTCAGAAGAGGCTGGTGGATACTTAAGGGCCAGTACCGCGCAATGGGTTGGACCTCTGCACACTCCTGGCTCTGTCTGCATGATGCTGTTGCTCTTAAAATGCTTCTGCTCACGTGGGAAGTCTGTTTGAGGTGTAACAGACTGCGTTTGGTCACGGGAAAGCACGTGTGTGGAGGAGCGGCCGCGCTGTTGCTCTTGGGGAGTGCCAGAACTGGCAGCAGGCACAAGGCCACGTGCAGGCAGGGCCACGGCAGCAGCTACAGAGATGGCGAGGCAGCAGCCCTCCCGATGCCCCACTGCCTCTGCCCATCTGTGCTGACACCACGGTCATCTCCACGCTTCCCCAGTGCCCTGTGCCACAGGCAAGCTAACGAGACACGCAGACGGGTGCTCCGTCCTTCCCGCCAGCAGTGGGGTGCCCAGGAGAGACAGCAGAGACCCACCCTCACAGAGAGGCGGTGTGACAGTGCTGAGGGTCGGAGGACAGAGAAGAGGGGCCGCGCAGGAGCAGGCGCTGCTGGGGAAGAGGGCGAGGCCAGGCGCCAGGGCCTGCGGGAGGGAGGGGGGCTGGCAGGGAACCAGCCGCCAGGTTGCCCGCCAGGCCCGAGGTCAACAAGGAAGAGTGCGCTGCCTGCGTCTGGGAGGACCACGTCTCAAACCTGCTTGGGGACGGGCAGCGGCGAGGTGCTACCAGCTCACCTGTCGTGGTGGATGATGAGGCTGATGGCCTCGAAGAGCACCGCGTTCTTGGCATTGGAGTGCTGCACTTTCTTGGACTTGGGCGGCTCCTGGGCCTTGTTCAGAATCGTCTCCAGGCACTCGGTCAGGCGGCCTCGCACGGCAGGGTCTTCTGGGCGAACAGACAGCCATCGGGCAGCTCCTACAGCCCACCCGCCCCCACCCGCTGCACGCTGCAGCTCCTCACTAGCAAGTCCCCTCAAACTGGGGAGAAACAGTGGCCAAATTGTAGCTCCATTTAAAATAGGATGGTTTAGTAGCTGGGGTAATGACACATACATTCTAATGAAATCACGCACACACTTACTGAGATAGAGATTACGTAAGCCAAGAGAAGATAAAACCTCATGTACATGGACATAATAGTGATATATAGAAGCTTTAGGGGCCGGGTTGGGTCGCTCAGCTGGTTAGCATCGTCCCAATACACCAGGGTTACAGGTTTGATCCCCAGTCAGGGCACATACAAGAATCAACCAAAAAAGGCATAAATAAAATACATGAACAACAGATTTCTCTCTCTTTCTCCCTCTCTCCCTCTCTCCCTCTTTCTCTCTCTCTCTCTCTCCCCACCTTCGCTCTCCTTTCCTCTTGCTCTAAAATCGATAATATTTTTTAAAAAGCTTTAGGGAAAAGGGGAAAAATATTTTTTCCCTGTGCTATTACCAACAGAAATAAAGAAAATGTTACAAGAAACAATACAAAGAGAAGGAAATGTTTAAGTTTTTATTCAAACCAGAAGAAACAATGGATCAAAAAGAGTAAGAACTAGTAGACACAGGAAACAACTAGCAGAACATGGGAAACAACTAGTAGAACACGGGAAACAACTAGTGGAACACGGTAAACAACTAGTGGAACACGGGAAACAACTAGTAGAACACGGGAAACAACTAGTAGAACACGGGAAACAACTAGTGGAACACGGGAAACAACTAGTGGAACACGGGAAACAACTAGAACACGGGAATACGCCTACAGAGACACCATCTCCGGGGGCTGGAAAACCAGCCGTGTCAGAGAGGACGCGAGCCTCCAGCCCTGTGACTCAGACGCAGCACAGGGCCCCTAAGAAGCCCTGAGAGACCTGAACTTAGAGGCACAAGGAGAGGAACAGGATGGAGGGTCCCAAACTGCAACGCATCAGAACCAGCCCAGAGAATTGGAACCTTGGAACGGAAAGGAGGACGAGGACATGGCAATCACACCTCTGGGTAAGTGGAAGGGTGGGGGTCTGAGTCTGGGTCCCCAGGTCTCGGGAGGAGGGGGAGGAGGAGAGGAGGAGGAGGCAGCCAGTTCCATGGAAAGGTCTGTGGGGCTAAGGAGTGGAAAGGCACCCGCCCAGGGAGGCCGTGTGGTTCATGCTCGGTATAAAAGATGCTCAGTATAGCCGTTACTTGACATTGACAAACACCCTGTATAAAAACAAGTTAGATTCCAAGGTTGTTGTAAAGGCTGCAACAACAAAGCAATATTTAAAGAAGGGAGGGGGAGTATCTGACAAAATTTTCATGTTTGTTCTTCAGCTCAGATTTCTTCTCCTGACACCTACAGCACTGCTCACATCAACCACCTTTTCCAAGGAACAAACACAGAAAACTCCTCCTCCTCCTCTTCCATGTGCATGTTACAGTTACAAAGATTACTGACTACTTAGGATACAAAGTTTTTCATGGTTTCAAGTTTTATTTTAAAAGATTGTTTCACAACCCTGCACTGATCTGACAGTGTATATCAGCGATGGTGAACCTATGACACAGGTTCACCTCTGACACGCGAACTCATTTTTTTTGGTTGATTTTTCTTTGTTAACTGGCATTTAAATATATAAAATAAATATCAAAAATATAAATGTTTGTTTTACTATGTTTGCAAATATCAAAAAATTTCTCTATGTGACCCGGCACCAGAGTTAAGTTAGGGTTTTTCAAAATGCTGACACGCCGAGCTCAAAAGGTTCGCCATCGCTGGTGTATATGATAGTGTATAGACACGGAAATAGTCCCGGGTCGTGACAATACTGCAAGCGCTCCACTAGCTTTCTCTGGGAAAACCAGGGTGCGTGGCCCCGCACAGAGGGATCCACAGGGCAAAAAGCAGCGGCAGGAAAGGACTTTTTTTTTTAATGTTTTTATTGATTATTTTAGAGAGAGGGGAAGAGAGAGAGAGAGAGACAGAAACATCAATGACAGAGGAACAGCAATCGGCTGCCTCCTGCACACCCGCTGCTGGGGATCAAGCCTGAAATCTGGGTATGTGCCCTGACCGGGAATCGAACTGGTGACCTCTTGGTTCATCGGTCAACGCTCAACCACTGAGCCACACCGGCCGGGCAGGAAAGGACTTTAAAGAGAACAAACAGAAGATCTAACCCTAAGGGGCTGAGCGGACCCTGTCGGTGTGAGGCCATACCTGGGGGTGGGTAGCACTGTAGCAGCCTCAGAAGTTTGACTGACAGCCAGGGAGCCGGGACAAAGTAGTAAGTGTAATCCTGCAGGTCTGTTGATGCGGAGGTCACAATCTGTAAAACAACACAGGTGTGAGACACTGCGGGCAGGTGTCCCCAGGAGGAGCCCCCACTGTGGGACCCACACAAAGCCACGCGGGCCCTGGTTCCACAGGTCACACACTAACCGAAAACCTGGTCTCATTCAATGTGCTGGGAATGTTTAAGGCGCTCCTCCGGACTGGAGGTGAAGGGGTGCGGCCGCTCCAGGTTCACACCCGCAGTGCCGTCCTCAGTGGGGCAGCTGTGCGCCGCTCCCGCCTGGGACACACCCCTACGCTGCTGCTGCCTCGCACAGAGTTCCATGGCACCTGCAGAACTCAGTCTTTCCTTTGTGGACCGGAAAGTGAATGAGGCACAAAAGGGAGGCCTCTGGTCCCTCAGAATGGAGCAGCTGGTGTCCTGACCCCAGCCCCCCACCCCATTTCTCCCAAGCGTGCCCCCTGCCATGAGCCCATCGAGGGTGGGGGACCTGGCTCCTTTACTCGCAGTCCCAGCACAGCCCTGGCAGGGCAGACACTCATCAACCTTCCGAACACACGACTGTCCGCAAGACACTGTCCCCACTCCCACAGCCCAGCACTGGGGAGGTCAGGTAGCCTCACCCCCCAGAGCTCCCCGGGGTGACACGAAGTCATAAAGAGGCGGCTGTGGCGCATTCACTGGCATCAAGTGAATGGAAAGCACACAGAACAAACGTAATCCCACAGGGGTGACCAGAACAGGTCAAACACATGAGAACACGTGCTGCTCGAACGTTTCTATAAAATCAAACCGCGCAGGGCCGTGCGGACAGGCTGGGCCCCGCCGCCGGGTGAGAGGGGCTGGCAGGCTCTGCTCCAGCACCTTCCCACACAGACAGTGCTCAACGGCCTCAAGGTCGAAAGGAAGCTCACCAATTACTAAGCAGCTCTTCACTCTTGAATTTACAAACCGTGCCAAATACCCTGCATTCTAAAAACTAAACTAATATATCAATTGCATAAAATAACTGAGACCAAAACGCACCCTGAGTTCCGTTCCCTGTCCACAGACTTACTCTGCTTAGTCGGGACACAGCCAGAGAGACGGAGGTTTTAAACTCTTCTGGGTTCTTCTGTGCTAAGGTGGTGATGAGACTCGTGGCAGCAGTGACCACGCCCTGAAAGGAAAATGAAGGCACGCTATGCATTCCGATTCCATTCAAAATACCAGCAGCTGTTAATCCTCTGGTGTTAAACCCATCCTTCAGATACAACTTTAAATAAATAAACTAAAAGCAACAAACCGGCAGCCCACGGCCACCTCCGGCCGACTGGCCGGCCCACGGTATTTCTGAAGGTGGACGTGGCACACGCAGGTGGTGGTCTTTATGCAGTTTTTCTTACAAACGACGCAGTCCCCACACTCCAGCTCCCCCGCCGGGGCGGGCAGCAGAGGGCAGCCCCCATCCTTGCACGCCCAGCCGCCTGCCTGGATGTGGACTGTGCCGCAGGCATTATCTGCAGCCTCACTTGAATCTTCATGACCCAAAAGTGAGGAGTGGAAAAGGAACTGAAAAAGCCCATTCGGCCCTTTTTGAAAGTGGCCCGGGCTGCATCTCTGCCACCAACTGGGTGGCCCCTAAAGCACCACCAGGCCCAACGCCCTCCCCCTGCGGGACCTTCCCAGCACAACTCGTGGCCTCGGTTCTCCCGGAAGATCTAAGTAAAGAAGTTTCCTCACAAATATAAACAAATCAAGACAAAATGAACAACACTTCCCGGTGAAGATGCGCCCAAACCAGCTCAGGAAGCTCCCTTGGCATCAGGTGCTCCCCTGCTCCACCCCCACCCCAACCCGGACTCGGGGACAGATAGCGGGAGAAGTCAGCGCCCTGCGACCTCATGGAGCCTCGCTGTGCGGGCTCGGCTTTCCGGGGAGAGAGAGGGCTGCACAGAAGAGACGCGCTAACTGCCTGCCTATCGGTCCTTGGCGGCAAGATAAGTGCCAAAGACTCCCCAGGCCAGACAGAGAGCTTTCACCAACTCCGTGTGACGGCAGGCTCTGCCAGGCCAGTGTCTGGGCCCGGTTCCCCTACAAGCCCGCCAACAAGAGCTGGTTGGGCCCCTCAGCCCTGGTACAGGGTCTGGCTCTCCCTGCGTCCCTGCAGAAAGGGAGGCGTAGGCCAGCGCCCGCTGCACGGCAGCCTACTGTGACGGACACAGGATTCGGAGGGGCTCCCCTGCTCGCACAGACCCCCAGGCTCTGAGCCCTGTGGCCGCAGGAGCTCCCCTGAGGAGGCAGCAGTGATGATCGCCAGAAAGCCACGAGCCTGAATGACAGCGTCTACAGAGCACCATGCCCCGGAAGCCGTGCAGTGCACCCTGCCCCTCCTGCCCCCTGCCTCCTCCGTGTGCCACCTGGGCTCTGGGATGGCAGAGGCCCCAGCTCTAAGCCTTCGTCACCCGGTTCAAGCCTGGATCTGTGTGAAGCTGCTAAACCTCTGAGCCTCAGTTTCCTCATCTGCAAAGCTGAGAAAGCCCCACTGCCTCACGGGGTCCCCCTGAGGGGCGACCTGTGACCTGAAGCCTCCCAGCCCAGCCTCCAGCACTGCTTCCCACATCCCTGGGCAGAGTCTGACCCTGAGTGACCCGGTGGGAGCCGGGTGCATGGCTGGTACAGGAAGCCGAATCCCCACACCTCCTGCCAGCGTCCCCCCACCCCCATCCCAAGTCTGCTGGCAGACGCCCAGCTCCATCCTGAGGAAGGGCTGCCTCTGTCCCGACACAAGCCTTCCCAGTGAGTACGGGGAGTGGTGTAGGGACAGCTCACCAGCTGCCACGCCACAGCAAGCTCTCACCTCGGAATCTCCGTGCAATGACTGTTTCTAATTTGATTTTTACGGTACATTTCTCTTCTGGAAAAATTGTAGCAACCAGCCAACATACTAACACCCTCTACCCAGCAGGAAAATCTGTTTCCCTTGAAGTCTGATTCTCTCGTTTATGCAACAGAATTCAGGCAAAAGAAGGCCACTCTGTCCCACACCTGCTCCTACTTGACCTTGCCTCCCATGTGCTGTCCCCACACGCCCCTCCCGTGTGGAGGTCTGACCACAGGCACTGGATCGCTCTACACCCCCGTCCTGTCCACACACGGCACGCCCTCGCTGCACAGGCTGGCCTCCGCTTGCTGCCTACACCCAGCCTGCGGGTGGTTGCCCAACGCCGAGTTCCAGGTGAGCCAGAGACCACGTCCGACTCGTCGCCCAGGCAGGGGGCTCACGGGAGCGCTGTGTGCCGCCCTGACACTGGGCAGCCGTGCGGACCGCGTCACGGTGGCTATTCCTGCGGAGGTTACGGGGGAGGGTTCACCCAGAGGCGCTTACCAAGTGCTGGTCGTTGAGGAGGTGCACCACTCGGGATGCCCAGTCACCCGTGGGGACCAGGTGGGGAGACGTCCGGTACAGACGCAGCAGGCATAGGGCGGCACTTTGCTTCGCGCTGTCCATGGTGTCTCTGAAAGACAACCCAGCGGTCACGGACAACACAGCCAGCACGGCCTGGAGCTGCGAGAACACCCACCCAGCAGAACCGAGCCAGAGGCCCACCAGCGGGCTGGCTGGAAGGACATGCAGAGTAGGGCTTCAGCCTCAGGAGGGGGTCTGCTCTAAAGAGTTGCCTCGGGACTTCACTCCAACACACTGCAGGAAAGAGCCCTCTCCCAAGACTCAGCCTAGCGCCCAGCTGCTGCAGGTGGCCCTGGCTGTGCGGGTAGTCAGCTCACCATCCTCTCATTGTTTGCACTTGACCTTAGCCAAAAGGCCGAGAAGCGACCTCTTTCATTGTTTGAAGAACGCTGTTTTGGTCAACCTGAAGATTTCCTCCCATCTCCAAAACCACCACCAGGCGCCCGCCCAGCGTCATCCACCCACCCGCCTGCCTGCCCGCAGCACTGAGAGACAGGGCCAGCGGCTCCAATGCCTGCGCCTCTCGTGTGGCCGCGGTGAAAAGCCCGGCTTTGGGCTGGGGAGCACCGGGAGGCTAGGTGGGACCCCTGCAGACACCTTGCGGGGAGGGAGGGTCTATCCTGGCAGGAATGTTGGCTGAAGGCACAGAATGTTCATTCCCAGCACTGCCTATGCCCCTCCCCCACACCCCAGCCCAATCTGCTCCAGGCACACCAGGGAGCGCTCCAGAGTGGGCCGAACACCAGCCAGCTGGTGAGGCACCGAGGGAAGAGAGTTTGGGGGCTGTCTTTACTATTCGCCTCCCTTTTGGCTTTTCATCCCTGAGGGCCTGGAGGGCGGGGAGCTGGACTGGACTCCTCCTGACGTCTAACCAGCACCTCGTCTCCGCTACGTAATCTTCGGAGACGAGCTCGTCCTGTGAAGTCTCTAGGTAGCTGCATAGCTGACTGACTGAGAGGCATTTTCCAACAAGGGCAGGACACATACCCAGCCACGAGGATCTTGGGGATCTCCCCAGCGAAGGCCTCGGCCATCTCCCGGCTGCCCACGTTGGCGATGCAGTGCAGGGCCAAGCCCATGAAGGTGGGGTTCCGACTGGCCAGGTCGTTCTTGATGGCGTTGTTGATCAGACGGATCAGTTCGCTGTTGGAGTTCACCAGCACCGAGATGAAAAGGTACCCCTGGGTCGGAGGACAAGAGAGCAGAAAGCTCCTAACCACCTCGTCCACGTGGGCCGGAGGCACCAGCAGATCCCGCATGTTCCCGAGGGCCCGCAGGCTGCGCTAAGACATGCTATGCAGGACTCATGGGCACGGGGCTGGGGTGGGGGGCGGCGGGAGCCACTTCTGTTACGGAGGCTAAGTCTGCTTCTGGCCCTGCCGGGGGAAGTCCTGCAAGAGGAACCTGAGAGGCAGTCAGACGCCCCACGAGAATCAGACACCTTGGCCTGGCCTTCCCCCGAGTCCCACTGCCTCTGCATCGTGATGGGTGAGTCACCCAGACTCACTGGCGTCCTGAGAGGGAAGGCGCTTGCCTCGACTGTAACTAAAATCACTGGGTGACTTCCAGAACCCAGCTGATGGCTGTCCCCTCCTGAATCTGTCTCTGTGCTCCAGCTCCCCCTCTCCACCCAGGCCAAACTCCAGCCCGTGTCACCCCAAGTCCACCTGCTCCCCAGGCAGCGGGATGTGATTCCTCCACACTGGTCTCGAGGGGAGGCCCATGAGAGCCCTGCACCCTCCGGTCCCCCTGAGCGGCACTCACGATCTGCTTCTCCGTGTATCTGTTGGAGCTCAGCAGGTTCACGGCCTCCATGTGCCCAAAGTCAATGTCGTGGCCCAGGAGGAAGATGAAGAGCAACTTGCAGACGTACTTCTTTTTACTGTAGCCATCAAGAGCCTTGTCACCTAGGAAGGGAAGCTGAGAGCTTAACCGAGGAGCAAGGCAGGCAGCAAGGAGTGGCCTGTGGCACAGGCAGTGGCCCCACCAGACGCACGCCGGCCCTGTGCTGGGCACAAATGGCACCTCGGCACTGGGCACAGATGCACCTGGCACTGTGCAGGGTCCCCTCTGAACTCGAGAGCGACACTAACACTTCCTGCCTTGGCACCGCACACGTGTTCCGCACCGCCAGGGGCTCTGCCCCACTGCTCCCAGCGACAGGCCTGGAAACAAAAGCCCTGCTCATGCCACACAGTCCACTTGTCTATCTCCATCAAGAAAGTGTATGCGGCCCTAGCTGGTTTGGCTCAGTGGGTAGAGCATCGGCCTGTGGACTGAAGGGTCCTGGGTTCAATTCTAGTCAAGAGCACATGCCCTGGTTGTGGGCTCGATCCCCAGTGTGGGGTGCGCAGAAGGCAGCTGATCCATGATTCTCCCTCATCATTGATGTTCTCTCTCTCCTTCTCCCTTCCTCCCTGAAATCAATAAAAATATATTTTTTTAAAAAGAAAGTGTATGCGCTGGCTCCACCAGCATCCCCCCAAATACTCCAGCACCTGCTCCCCACCCTCCAGGAGCAAGAGCCAAGCTGCAGTGTGCCCAGCATCCTGGCAGCCGCCCCAGGGCACACTGGGCCTGCTCCTCACTCTGCAGGAGCCCAAGTCCACTCCCAACTGCAGAACTTGTCATCAGCCACTAGTCAGCTCCACAGGCTCCCTGGTGCCCAGCCCAGGGCAGCATCTACTACGCGCCCCCCTCACCGTCCCAGTGGTGGTGTTGGAGAGAGAGCTGAGGGCTCCTTCAACCCCGGAGGCCACTGCCTCCTGTGTCTCAGCGTCACCTTACAGCACTCAGTGTTCTTCACAGTGGGCGCCCTGTGGCCCTCAGAGAGGTTTTTCTCCTGACTGCCCAGTCTAAGACAGGCCTCAAAACATTAGTTCCAGTTAATGGTCTTTAATTCCAGCAATCCCAAACTGTCAAATCGAGGCTTTCTGAGCTGTAAATGGGGACGACGAGAGTGACAGCCATGTCCCTGGCTTACCAAGAGGGTGGATGGCCACAAACCAGAGGCATCCTGTCTGTGCCCCGCGGCCTATCCACCTGTCTGAGGCCCGTGCCCCAGCGGCGCCTGCAGAAGCCGGACGTGCACGGCTGAGAGGCGCCGGAGAGTGAGCCGACAGCACAGGCTCACAGGGACGAGGAAGGGGAGCAGAAGCGGCTCAGGACAGGTGTTTCCTTCCCTGCCTCTCAGAACCCCGAGTCTCTCTCCAACTAGGCCTGCCGTTACTCCACCCACGGAGCTCTCCAGGGGAACCTGCAGGTCTCAGTTCTAGAATTTCCATTTGGTCTGATTTCAAAATCTGCTGTTCCCTTTCACACTTCCCGAGTCTCCTGCTGAGATGTTCAGGTTTGTTGATGACTTCTTTCCAGCGGTGAGCCTTGTTCCTGCTGCCTCTGCTGCTCTGGCCACGCCCTCAGGATTCCCTTCCCATCCCCACGCTGGCGGCCTTGGAGAGCAGCTGCAGGAACCCCAGGCAGCACTGTAATAGCATCTCCCCAGACAGGGCTGTTTCTCTCACCTTCACCGAGTCGTGGTGATCTGGCAGGGTGGCTCACGGCCAGGTCACTGCTACCTGAGGGCATTGCCTGGGGGTCCCCGTTGACAGTGGAAGGCGTCTCCACTTTGGGTGGCTCTGGCTTTTTCCCCTCTAGCCAGGGTTGCTCACATTGGGGCCATACTGTGCCCCGAAGGTGTTCAGCAGTCTCCTGGCCTCCCCCCACTAGATGGCAGCAGCACCCTCCCACCCTGAGACGTGATGGCCAAAAATGTCTCCAGACTTTGCCCAGTGCCCCTGGAGGGCAAAGTCACCTGGTTGATAACTACCCTGGAGATGTGCTTCCTGCCGGTCTCTGGCTCACATGACTCACAGCTCTCAGCTCTCGAGGCGAGGCGAGGCGCACAGGGGGCAGCACTCCCTGTGGGGCCCCACCTCTTAGAAAGGCCCAGCCTCGCTGCCCTTTTCCTCGAGGAGGCTCTCCAGACTATGTCCATGCTATGGTCTTTTTAGGCTGTTTTCAGTCCAAGGGTTGGTCTGGGCCACAGTGGCTCCCGAGCACCTGAGCGGTGGCTGCTGCAGAGGGTGGGCTCCAAGGCACCCCTCCACCCGCCCCACCCGGTGCCGGAGCCTCGGTGGGAGTCTGAACCACGCAGGGTTCTCCTTGCCCACCGGTTCACGCTGCAGGGGGGCTTCAGGTGTGCCACTGGGTCAAATGCATGAAAGCTCACTGCCTTCCCTTCCGTCTTTACCGTGAGTCCTGGGACATTTGCGCGTGTCTGCGTGTGACCTGCACAGTATTTCTAGGGACAGCACGGATCTAGACCATCTAACCTGCCATAAGGGGTGCAAGTCCCCAGAGCACACTGCAGACAGGGCTGGTGTTCTCCTGTTTGCTACTAGTCAGGGCGCACCCGAGCTCAGTTAACACCAACTGGTTAACCGACAGGGGGCAGCCTCCTCTCTACGCAGGCGGCTGGGCTTAGAGAGGCGTGAAGGCGGAGGAAACAATACAATCGTGTTGTCCCAAAGCATCTGTATGGATGGCTGGGAGAGTCACCATCTGAAGGCCCAACATGATTAACAGGTATCAGGACTCCCGTCCTAAACAGGCGTCTATGTGTGTCCACACGCAGACCATCTGGGCAGCAGGCATGGCCCTTCCTTCAGGGGTGAGCTGACTGGCCTGCTGGCGGTCTGCCTTCCTGGGCTTTCCAGCCACGACTAAGTGATGGCGTGGCCGAGGGACTCACTGTTCCCATGTTCCCACCCAATGCCCGACTCCACAGCGCAGACGGACACTGGCACATCTCCCCCTGCTGCCTCCCGCCCTCACCCACCGGCCTCCCCCTGCACTTGCACTAGTCCTGCGATCTCATCGAGGGTCTGCTCACGGACAACCCACCAAGGGCATCAGTGTCCCATTTTACAGCTCGGGAAAGAGGACCAAGGGTTACGGGACTTGACAAGGTGACACAGCTCCTAAGCCTCAGAGCAGAGACCTTGCCACCAGTGACAGTCCCTCCCTTCAGGAAGCAGTGGGAGTCGTCAGTGCCACCCCAGAGACGCACAGGAGGCCGGTGAGCACACAGCTGCTCCACAGCATCTGTCCCCTGGGAAATGCCAATTAAGACGACGGGACAGCGCTGCACACCCACCCGTCGGCCAGAATCCAGCACTGACGCCCCCCGTGCGGGGCGGGCGTGAGGCAGCGGGTGGCTCTGTGCTGGGGACGCAGAGGGTGCAGGCGCCTGGCCAGGCAGGCGGTGGTTTCTCGCCGTCGGACCCAGCAATTGTGCTCCTTGGTCTTTACCCAAAGGAGCTGAAAAGTCATACCCACAAACAGCCTGCACATGTGCTTACAACCGCTCATCATCACTGCCGAGGCCTGGAGCCACCGCGATGGCCTCCGGGGCGATGGGTAAATAAATGGGCCCGTTGGACAGTGGGATGGTATTCAGCACTAAAAAGAAATGAGCTATCAGGTCAGGAAAAGACCCAGAGGGAACTCAGATGCATGTGACTGAGTGACAGGCCGTGACAGGAGCCGTCTGTGACTCCAACTCTGATGCTCTGGGAAAGGTGGAGTGTGGGGGCGAGCAGCTCAGGGCTGAGGGGTGGGCACAGGGTTGTCAGGGCAGCAGTACTAAAAGGTGGACACATCTGTCCAAACCCACAGAATGTCCCACAGCACGATGAGCCCTGATGCTCTGTGGGCTCTGGGTGCTGATGACAGGCAGTGCAGGCTCATGACTGAAAGGAAGTCACCGTCTGGTGGGGACGTCGATGGGGGAGGCAGTCTGGGGGGGGGCAGGTGTACCTGGGAAATCTCTGTACTGGGGGGGGCAGGTGTACCTGGGAAATCTCTGTACTGTCCTCCTAATTTTGCTGGGAGCATAAACTGCTTTGAAAAAAATGAAGTCTTAATAAAAAAAGATAAATAAAAAAATTTTAAGCAATGAAAGTTACAGACATCTTCCTCATAAATACACACATAAGCAAACCATTTCACATATGATCTCAGGAGCTCCATGGACCGAGAGCAGCCTTGGGCCCGGCTGGAAGTATCACAGCTCAGTACTCCCCTGGGGTCAGTGGGCACCCTCGTCAGCAATTCCTGAGCCGCTAGCTTTCCCATCACCTGGCAGTACAGGGAGCCACCGCCAAGCAATCCTGTCTCCTGTGCCGGGTTCCTGGGTTGGCCCAGCCCGCCTGCACCATGGTCCCTGGGCGACGCCAGTCAGGCTCCAAAGTCTCCCAGAGACTGGAACCAGGCCCCCGACCTGTTAAGTTAACTGAAAACTAAGGCTCACAGGCTTAAGCTCCACAAGTCCTTAAAGCTGAAAATCGACACCACCTTCTTCAAAATGAGGTGGGTGCTCGGGGAAGTGTGTCCCCACAACCTGAGTGGGTCAGGGAGCGTCATCAACATGGCAGAACACACTTTGGCAGGGGAAGTGCTCCGATCACTTGACAGAATTCCGAACGAGGAACCAGTGGCCTCGGATGCAGGTCTTCATCTGAGGCTCCCACTCCGAGCCCAGGCGGGGTCTGCGGGGTCTGCGGGGTCGCATGCTTGGGGCACGGATGAGCGTCCCCCCAGCTCCGGGAAGAGCTAGGGGCCTGGGAAGGGGCCACGCTGTCTGGTTGACTACACAAACGTCTAACAGGTCGAGAATAACCAGTGGCCTGACTTCAAACACGCTTAACTTCTAACAGCACGAGAGCAACAGTACTAAAACCTTAGCTTTGATTTGAAGTGGAAAAAAAGACTGAGTCCCTCCTACATAGTGTACAATAGAGCATTTCACAGAAGGGCTCCCACACACTTACCTTTAAATTTTGACCGAATGTTTGCCAGCTCCTTATTTATTCTCTTTATTTCTGCTTCTTTACTTTTGCCTAAAAAAGAACACAAATATGTTTCTTTAACTGCCTTCGCCACACACACCCGTTCCCTGGCGAGACGGACACGGAACGTTGAAGGCAGAATCGCTGCTTTCAGCAGCCTGATGAGCAAAGCAAGCTGCCCCGACCAGGGCCAGTGGCAGCGGGGCCGGGCCTCGGGTCCCGGCGGGCAAGCTCCTGAACGCCAGCGTTCATTCACCTTTTCCCCTTTGGGAGCGAGAAGTGCGCAAACACCTGCTGGGCTTTTCCCAGCTCATCGTTTACCCGCAGCGTGTCTGACGGTGCAGCCATGTTTAAGGTATGAACTTCGCCTACTGATGAAGCCCACCAACCTACACACACTGAGCTCGCAGCCTGTGCCCCTGTGAGGCGCGGGGATTCTCCAGGACACAGCGGCCGTCGAGCTCTGCCTCCACCCCGGCCTACTGCTAGGTTGGCCTTAATTCAACAAACACATGCGCGCCTTCGCAGCCTGCATGGAGCATGGACAAAGCACTGTGCACAGGAGGGCATGCATGTGTGTGCACCTCTGTGCACCTCTGTGTGTCACTGTGTGTGTGCCTGTGTGTGCCTGTGTGTGCCTGTGTGCCTCGGTGCACCTGTGTGTGTGCCTAGGTGCGTGCCTGTGTGCCTCTGTGTGCATGCCTATGTGTACGTGCCTCTGTGTGTGCCTGTGTACATGGCTATGTCTGTGTGCCTCTGTGTGTACCTGTGTATGTACATGTGTGTGCCTATGTGTGCCTGTGAGTACCCGTGTGCCTCGGTGCACCTGTGTGTGTGCCTATGTGTGCCTGTGAGTACCCGTGTGCCTCGGTGCACCTGTGTGTGTGCCTATGTGCGTGCCTGTGTGCCTCTGTGTGTGCCTGTGTGTACCTGTGTGCCTCAGTGCACCTGTGTGTGTGCCTATGTATGTGCCTGTGTGCCTGTGTGTGCATGGCTATGTCTGTATGCCTCTGTGTGTGCCTGTGTGCACCTCCGTGTGCCTCTGTGTGTGTACCTGTGTGTGCCTGTGTGTACCTGTGTGCCTCGGTGCACCTGTGTGCGGGCCTGTGGGCCTGTGTACATGCCTATGTCTGTGTGCCTCTATGTGTGCCACTGTGCACCTGTGTGCACACTGTGTGCCATGTGTGCCTGTGCACCTCTGAGTTCTTCTATGTGTGTGCCTGTGTATGCCTCTGTGTGCTCCTGTGCGCATCTGTGTCTGTGCGTGCTTGTGTGTGTGCTTCTCACAGGTGCACGGGAGTCTGTGTCATGCTTCTCTCTGGTATGTCCACTAACTGGGCTGTCACCTCCATGCCCTCTTCTCATGGTGGCAATAGCAACATGAGGATCAGGAGGACCAGCTCACAAACATGAGCCTGTAACTGGACGGTTTCTCTCCCTTTAGTCCAGGCAGCCAGGCTACTCCCAAGTGTCAAACCCTGCAAGCGCCCGAGGGGAATTCCAGGGGAGCAAAGTGCTACACTGGTCACAGGCAGCGCTCCAAGGGGAGGCGAGAAGGAAGCCCAGTGTGGCGGGGGTGACTGGCAACCCACAGATCGACACATGGAATCACAACGTTAGGAGGCCGCCAGCCCGCGGGGCAAGGGCAGCCTGGGCACGGCCGGTGGGCTTCAGGGCGCCAGCGCATGCTCACTCCAGCTGCTCTCCTCCCAAACAGAGGGCTCACACAACTCGGTCACCCACACTATTGGGAGTGGCCCCAGCAGGAAGCTCCTATTTTCAGATAAAGAACTTGCTCTGGGGAGGCACGGGGTTTACTGCCCTCCGCGGACTTCAGGAATCAACTGGCACTGGGCCAGGCCTCACCAGGCTTGCCATCTGACCTCTGTGCCACCCCGCACCATCTCTATCTCAAATGTGGCAGGTCGGTCGGCCGCTGAAGACGCCAAGCTCACAACAGGCATCCCAGGATGGACTTGGGCTCCGCTGGCTAATGAGTAACCTGGACTAGCCGCAACCTCTGCCCAAAACAAGCCACCCGTGCGCCCAGCAAGCAGCAGAGAATGCAGCCTGGGCACGGGATTGGTTAACAGCTCCTGCGGTTTCAGAACAGCCATCCTGCTAGCCAATGCTTCCTCCTGATTTGCGCTGAACCAGCCAACAGACCGTCTCATATCCTGGAAGCACCGAGGGCAGGAGCCTATCACCCAGGTTAAAGTACTAGGTCTGAAATTTACAGTAAAGTTTGGTCTAAAGAAAGACTTCATCTTTGTACGAAATGAATTCACTGAGTACATCAAAAGCCCTAATTGACCAAAAAAGGCATTTATGAAGGAAGATATTGCTAACATTATACTGAGGGCGGGCAGCACAGTGGTCAACAGAGCAAACTCTGCAACTGAGCCAGGACACACGGCCCTCCTGGTCTCGGGCGGCACTGACCCTGGGCATCAACGCCACCTCTCTGTGCCTCGGCTTCTCCATCAGTGGGCGTGAGGAGGACCCAGCAGAACAAGCAAAAAGCACACGCCAAGTGGTGGCACAGGGCACTCACCTTTCCCGGAAAGCGCGAGAAACGGGCCTTGGAGCAGACTCCCCAATTGGACTAACTGCTCTCCGAGTCAGAGGGCTCATGCCAGAGGCCAGGCCACGCTCCACCCCGACCCATGCCGGGCTCTCAGCGGCTGTGCTGGGACATACATCACACAACCCGCTCACTCAAAGCACACGGTTCCCGGGCTTTGGGACGTTCAGAGCCGAGCCTCCACCACGCTCAGTCCTGTAAAAAGTGCGTCACCCCAGGGAGAGCGGGCCCGGCAGCAGCGCCCAGCAGCCCCTCGGCTCTCCCAGGCCCAGCTGCACCCCCCCCCCCGAAAGTCTCCCAGGGTCCTGAGGGCTCCTTTCACCGCGCTGGTTCATGGCAGAAAGGACCAGTGCGCTGTCCCTTCGCTGAAGAACGTCACGTTATGTGGACATGCCACACCCTCCATGACGGACGGGGCCATTTCCCCTCTCTGGCTGCTATGAATAACGTTGCTATGGACGTTCATGGGCCAGTTTCTGTGAACAAGTTCTCGTTTCTCTTGGGTGGACACACCCGGGAGCAGCACTGCTGGGCCACACGGTCACTGTGTTTCCCGTTTGAGGGGTGACAGCTGCTCTCCCGAAGGGCGGCCCCGTTCTCCACACTTGTCACTGCGGTCCCTCCAGCACCGTCATCCCAGTGGGGGAAGCCGCATCTCATCATGGTTTTGATCTGCATTTGCCTGATGGCTTTTAATGTGCTCACTGGATATTTGTGTGTCTACTTTCAAGAAACAAATTCAAATACTTTGTCCACTTTTTAATTCAATATTCTGATACAGCCCTTTCAAATACTTTCACTCTTGGGTTGTCTCTTCATGTTTTTGGCTTTGAGGAAGTCAAGGCACCATTCTTGTCACTTGTCCTCTGTCACATCTAAGAAGTCATTCCCCAACCTCACAAAGACTTGCTCCTGTTCCTGTCCCTCAGCTTCTGCACTGGGCTGACATCCTGAGTCAACTCTGAGCGTGCTGTGGGGCAGGGTCATTCCAGCCTTTTGCATGTGGTTACGCGGTCACGCCAGCACCATTGGCTTAAAAAACTACTCTTTTCTCCACCGGATTGCCTTGGCACTCTGGTCAAAAATCAACTGACTGAGCCCAGCCGGCATGGCTCCGTGGTTGAGCGTCAACCCATGAACCAGGAGGTCAGGGTTCAATTCCAGGTCAGGGCACACGCCGCGGTTGTGGGCTCAATCCCCAGTGTGAGGCATGCAGGAGGCAGCCGATCCATGATTCTCTCTCATCAATGTTTCTATCTCTCTCCCCCTCTTCCTTCCTCTCTGAAATCAATAAAAATATATTTTAATAAAATTAACTGATCAAAATGTAAAGTTTTTTTCTTTTTTAATTTTTTTCTTTATTGATTAAGGTATTACATATGTGTCCTTATCCCCCCATTGTCCCCACCCCACCCCCATTTATGCCCTCACCCCCTGGTGTCTGTGTCCATTGGTTAGGCCTACATACCTGCATACAAGTCTCTTGGTTGATCTCTTCCCCTTACCCCCGCCCTCTCCTACCTTCCCTCTGAGGTTTGAGCATCTGATCGATGTTTCTCTGTCTCTGAATCTGTTTTTGTTCATCCGTTTACGTTGTTCATTTTATTCCACAAATTAGTGAGATCATGTGATATTTATCTTTCTCTGACTGGCTTATTTCACTTAGTATAAGATTTTTGAGGCAACTCCATACTGTCTTCCATAGTGGCTGCTCCAGACTGCATTCCCACCAGCAGTGCACAAGGGTTCCTTTTTCTCCACATCCTCTCCAGCACTTGTCGTGTGTTGATTTGTTGATGATAGCCATTCTAACAGGTGTGAGATGGTACCGCATTGTCGTTTTGATTTGCATCTCTCGGATGCTTAGTGACTTGGAGCACGTGCTAAGGTTTATTTCTGTGCTCTCAATCCTCTCCCATCAATCCCTGTGTCCTTGCACCAGGAACAGCCGCACGGACACTGCACTGAGGCTGAGCGTCTGCATTCACAGAGAAGCTGGCCTCTGGTCTTCCGGCTGCGATGTCTCTTTCTGGCTTTGGTATTGGGGACACTGGCCTCCCAGGATGAGCTGGGAAGCGTTCTCTCCTCTTCTATTTTTCAAAGTTTGTAAAGATTGGAACTGATCATTGAAGTGTTTGGTAGAATGCATGCATGAAGCCATCTGGGCCAGGGTTTGTTCTTGTGGAAAGTTTTTAAATTAATAATTCAATGTCTTTCTTCATTATCAGCCTGTTCAGATTTACTTTTCTTTAGTCAGTTTCGTTTATGTCTTTCTAGGAATTTCTCCATCTTATCTAAGTTAGCTAATTTTTGGCACACAATTACTATTCATGGTACTCCATTGCACTCCTTTTTATATCTGCAAATTCACTAACAAAGTCCCTTCTCTATCCTGATTTTAGTCATCTAAGCCTTTTCTCTCTTCTCTTGGTCAGTTTGGGTCTATTTTTATTTTCATTCATCTCAAAATATGTTTTTAATCTCCCTTCTTTGCCCCACTGGTTATACCGGAGGCTGTTTAATGTCCCCGTTTGGGAATGTCCTCCTGGCTCCTGGCCTCACTCCTCCTGTGGTTGCAGAATAGACTTTGTGTGCGTTCAGCCCTGTGAAACGTGTTGAGACTCTGAGGCCCCGCGTCTGGCCTATCCTGCAGGGCCTTCCTGTGCACTGAGAGGACGTGTCTTCTCTCCTTGGGAAGGGGAGAGTCTGTGGGTGTCTGGGAGGTCAGCT